AAGGCGAGTCAACGCCTTCAATCATCCATGACCCACACAAGGGGTAGGGACCAGCTGACTCGACCCCAAGGACAAAGGGAAAAAATCGGGTGACCTCGCCAACAAAGACCAGGCCGACCCCATCGGAGGCATCCACATTGGCACTCCACCACCCGGAGCTCGCTGTCCAGTTCATCTATCGCGAACCAACGTTTACAAAGTTGATCAATTTCCTGATTCAACATAATATTTGCTAGTATTTTTAAGTTGAGCTATATTTGCAATTTTGTACCAAATTGCTATATATATAATTGTTGCTATATAATTTAATCCAGTTTCAAATTTATTGAATTTCCCTCAATATCTTTAGTTTGACAAGACAAGAAGTGGAGATTTATACTCTTGAACTTTAACATAGATGTATTATGACTAAATTAATGAGTTGGTAGGTGAATTCACATGAACAAGATTAATGAGCCACAAAGGAAAAGAGGTTTGTTGAGACGATATTAATATACAAAATTTAATTATGTTCTTAGTGTGCTATGCTTATATTTTTAAATATGCTCTTTTTATCTTTAAAATTTTAATAAAAATTCATTACTTTTAAATATAAATTAAAAATTTTCATTTTAGTCACTCTATTAAATTTCTGCAGTTATTTAAGATAAGTTTATGTGACTTTTATGTTAAATGTAATTTAAAAAATTAATCATTAAAATTAAAATAGACCTTTAAAATATGAGGCCAAAAATAAATAATTAGAATTTTTTTAATAGCCGAAAAGTTAACAAAATACAATAAGTAAAAAAAGAAAAAAATCTAGGGCCAATCTTCACACTTGGAAAGAAGTAATAATAGCTTTGGTGGTGATCGATGTTCTATTCTCTTTAACTTTTAATTAATCACTATTAGAAATACATAAAATATTTATTATTATTATTTTTTATTTCAAGACGTGGGAGAAACTCAAGAGGTAGAAACTAATATTCTTATTATAAACAATCATTTTTTTATTAAAAAATATGATAATTTCTATTTCTTCAACGAATACTGGTTGATGAGAGAAAGACATATGTGAATTACCATAATTATTGGTAGCATCATATTCAGGATTTGAAACAATATGGTACTGGATCTAGCTTCGAAACTTTTATTGATTGAATAAGGAAAGAGAAGACGACTATTTTGTTTTGTGCTTTACTAGATAAGGTATACCAAGAGAAAAGCCTATTTGACAATGTTGACAATAAAAGTTACCAAAGATCTTCATTTATCAAATTCTAGCTTGTCCACGAATAAAATATAGTAAGTCAGTTCTTAGAACCATGTGATTTACTAGTGCATTCGATTTGCATTGAGTGATGGTGGAGTTTTTAGAGTTCCTGACTCCTTATTTATTTATTTGATGTATATGTCAATCATGATACGAACAAATTTACTTTTTACCTTTTCTTTTGTTACTACTAAAAACCAAAGACGAGGACCATCTCATCAGAGTAGTCGATTGTTTCTCCAAAACCCTAAGGCCGGCGATTACTCCCGTGACCACTCCTGATAAGAATCCAAGGGAAATGATTATGTATTTCCATCCAGATTCATTTTCTGAAACTTCATCTGAGATTCTTGTATCTGAAGTTGGTCGAATGGCAGTTTTACATTCCTTGGGCAAGGGGCCTCCGCATAATCCTTCATTGCCTGCAAAGGAATCTGGTGGGAAGGATTGAATTTGAGTGCCAATGGGGATCATCCCCACCAACTGATTGAAGGAAAGATTCAGTACAGATAGAAACGAAAGCAGTGCAAGCTGTGAAGGGATTTTGCCAGTAAGAAAGTTGCTTGAAAGGTCTAAAGATCCCAGCTGACTCAAGTTTCCGATGTATGAAGGAATTTCACCAGACAGAGAATTGTGCGAAAAGTTGAGAACATAAAGCGCCTTGAGTTGTCCGATTTCTGCAGGTATTTCGCCACTGAGGTTATTGCACGAGAAGTCGATGGCTGTGAAAACTGTTAGGATTTTCTTCAATTCCATGTCAAGACCTTTGGCTGTAACTGTAACTGTATCCTGAAAGTTCACAGAACTGAATTTGAAGAAATTAAACCGAAGGTGGTTAGCTCTTGATTTTCTATAAACTTCCTCATCCACCATTGCTTTCCACTTTATTAATTCTTTTTCAGATATATTACCGGTAAAGTTGTTCCGAGNAAGAGCGTTAATTGATTAAATTTTACTCTTTTTTTGTGGTCAGGTTGGTCCGAGAATTAAGAGTGATAGAGAGAGATTTCCGCCCAATAACGTGCTGCTGATGCTCGCCGGAGCGGGGCTGCTGTGGATGGGGTGGTCGGGATTTAACGGCGGCGCGCCCCACGCCGCCAACGTGGTGGCCTCGATTGCGGTGCTGAACACGAACGTCAGCGCGGCGACCAGCCTGCTCGTGTGGACCACTTTGGATGTCATTTTCTTCGGGAAGCCATCGGTGATCGGAGCCGTTCAGGGTATGATGACCGGCTTGGCTTGCGTTACGCCCGGCGCAGGTAATTCCGCCTCCACATTAATTAGTATTTAATATTAGTTATTAAACTTTTAAAAAAATAAAATTCCTAATATTTGTTATTTTCCTAAAATTCATTATCAAAATGTTCATAAAATATATTAGGAATTTAGGGTCGTTATTGATTGCAATCTTGGTTCCTTCTCAAAATATTAAGATTTTTAACAAATTATTTAAAACAGGAGTTGTGCAAACGTGGGCGGCTATCATAATGGGGATTCTAGCAGGAATCATTCCGTGGGTGTCCATGATGGTCCTCCACAAAAAATTGAGTTTCCTTCAGAAGGTATGTCCTTAAATCTTCCAACTGTTTCTAAAAATTCTCACCTACTTTTTAAAACAAAATTTTAATTTAAAAAATTGTTTATTTAATCATTTTTTAAATTTATTTTCTCTCACTTTTAAAATTTACTTTCAAGAGCTCACGTGTTACGCGTAAAACAAGAATTGAGAGAAGAAATTTTATTAATGAGTAATTCTCTCTCGTTGTACATAAATACAGGAGACTGTAAATAACAAACTATGGTTAACAAACTATAGTAACTCTAACATCACGAAAGCTATTTTGTAATCAATAGTTATAAATTTATTGGTAATATGAATAACATATAATTTTGTCATTGTTTATCAGGTTTTTTTTCCTCAGAAAATGACATAAAATTAAATATTTGCCAAATTAATGCTAGTTTCTAGCTAGTCTTTGGCAAATCATAGTCAATGGTCCGGGCCCTCTGTCCTTACAGATTACTGTTTTGTTGTTTGTGGAATTTTCTTCCGAACGTCACTTTCCGTCATATTTGAATATTCTTCCCGATCCCACATCTTTCGTGTATAATTATCTTCAACAGATCAATAATTTCATCCCTTAATTTTGTAGAAATATAATCGATAGGTATTTCTGACGAAAGTATAGTAATAAAAAAATCCATTACAAATATTTAAATTGATAATATTTTGCCTTATTAAGGAGCAAGATCAAAGCCCGTTAATTCTCCCAAAAAAATATATATATTTACAAAATTTACATATTCTTTTTAGTTCTACAAATTTACATTTTTTCCTCCATAATATTAAAGATATTTGTCTTTGAGATCCAATATCCGTAATTTGTGAAATAATGTAAAATGTAATAATAGGCTGACGACACGCTTGGCGTATTTCACACGCACGCGGTGGCGGGAATGTTGGGCGGGCTTTTAACTGGGCTTTTGGCGGAGCCCGATCTATGCGATCTGTATCTACCGGTCCCCGACACGCGCGGTGCCTTCTACGGCGGAACCGGCGGCATTCAGTTTCTTAAACAACTGGCCGGAGCCATGTTTATAATAGGATGGAACGTTGTGTCGACGACGATTATACTCCTCTTTATTCGGCTGTTCGTGCCGTTGAGGATGCCGGACGAGGACCTCATGATCGGAGACGACGCCGTGCACGGCGAGGAGGCTTACGCTCTTTGGGGCGACGGCGAGAAGTTCGATCCGAGAAGGCACGGCAATGCGACGGCGAGCACGGAAGAGAGAGCGGCGTCGCCTTATATCAACGGTGCCAGAGGAGTGACCATCAATTTGTAAAAATAAAATTAAAAAAGAAAAAAAAAAGTTTCTTTTACTCTGTTTCTTCTGCGTCTTGGTGTATAATAGTGTTTTGGAATTGCTTGGGTGTTCTTCCTTTTTCTAATGAATGCTTTCTCTGGTGTGGCCGAGGATTTCAAGCGTGGAAAAAAGCGAAATCTCTCTTATTAAGAAAGGAAATAGTTAATCTAATTTACAAACTGCTGTCTTTTTGCGATATCAGATAAGATATATAGATAAAATAGTACAAAAAGTTTAATGTCTCTCATGATCAGAAGACCGCCATTAGTACTGCTTCTCCCAGCACGTGCCCTTCTATTGCGTCTAACAGCTTGTCCTTTGTTGCCTGCAACTCAAAGCATCGAATCATCATATAAATTTTTTCTCTCTTTTTGAGATCGATCATATAAAAATGTTAAAAACGAAAATACTCAAGGTTAATCTATTTTTCCGCTCATTAATTTCACAACTTAGCAAAAAATTCCTTTCCAAATTCTTGAATTTAGATCACCCAAAATTATTCCAAGACTGCTGAATAAACTCTAATAATTAGAATTAAGAGGGAAGGGTTAATTTTACCTTGTGGCCGAGGTTCAACTGGTCGTCCAAAGCGTAGAGCTTGAACTCGAAGCGGTGGCCGTGGGAGGGCAAAGTGGGGGCGCGCCAACCAGGGATTTTCTCGTCGTTATTCCCCTCTTGGATAGCGGCATAATCAGCGCCGAGCGCTTCGTGTTTGCCCGAGAAATCTTCGGGCAGGCCCTTCAATGTGGGCGGAATGTTGAGGACCACCCACACGGTCCACGGCACAATCGGACCCTGCGGGTCCGGCGCGTCGATGTCCTGCACCACCAGGGCAAGGCTCTTGGTCCCCTTGGGCACATTGTACCATTCCAACGGCGGAGATTTATTCTTCTGCGTCCCTTGCCCTTCCGACGTGTACTTTCTCGGCAACCTCCCTTCGTGATCTATCGCCGATGACACCAGCCTGAAATCCTCGCTGTCGGCCATGCCTTCAAAAATTAACACTAATTAGGCTTTAATTTCTTCTTCGGTATCGGTCGTTGGTTTTGTTGCGTCATTGGAATTGATTTATACACTGCGCCCTTGGTTCTTGCCCATATCTTCAGCGACATTTGGTCAGGAAACTTCAAGTTGGCAACAAAAGGAGAGGGTTCAAGAAGCTCACGACACGTCACTCTTGACGTGGCAGACTTAGAGTGTCCTCCGCGGACTGGAGATCTGTGCATTTTCACATCTTTTCGTAGAGAGAAAAATTAAGGAAAGAAAAAAATTTACCCATTCAATTTTTTGTAAATTTTTTTTTTTTTGCCAAATCATGTCATTTTTTAAGGACTCAGGTAGGCCACTAAAATTTTAGCGAAAGATTGAAAAATTTTCTCCCCAGTATATTACTGAACAAGTTCAAATTAATTGACATTCTATTTTTAAATTTGCTATCAAATAAATATTCAAAAATATTAAAAATAAAATACAGTTCTAATTTTCTATTTAATCTTTTTGTTTTCAGAATGCAGCTAAATCAACTAAAAAGGACTTTGAAACTTGAAAACATATTTTGATCTGTATTGTGGTTTTTAATGATTTAATGATCATATTTTTAAAATATAAGAACTATTGACAAATATTGCAGAAGCTAAACTATAGAAACTACAAATAGGTTTTAACCAAAGAAAAAAGAAGATAAAATTGAACAGTTTAAATACATCCAGTATGAAGATCAAGGTAATTGAATCTCCCTATTTTGCTTACACTTTCATGAAGAAAATTATAATAAATGATCATTTCGAATTAAAAAAGAATAAAATATACATCCAGAGGAAGGGTAAATGGGCGCATTTCAATGGTATGTCAAACGACATTTTCAACAGCCCAAATCTTCAACTTCATGATCTCTCTAATTATGTACATAAGAAATGCTCTTATTTTCAACATTACAGAATCGCCTAAAGAATGAAGCTAAAATTTTCACGTTTTAATTTTCTCTGGGAATGCAGAGAAAGAAGAGGACGGGGATGGTGAAGGGAGGCATGTACATAGAGGATCATGAATGACCCTTTTCAAATAGATGTCAAGTTTTGAACAAAAAACACAATACGGCCCTCGAAATTCTGAGGATATTTCTTCACTTTCTTTATCTTCATATCCACCTCCAATGTCTTCATCTTCTTCACTATCATCTTCTGGTTCTACTTTCCGGTCCCTGGAAGTCAGGTAGATACATCCCATCAATGGGAGAATTGCCAGAAGAATTTTGTCGACGGTGTCGTCGGACCATTTTTTTCCGACCTCCAAAAACATAAGCGGAGCAACAACTGCAGCTGCTCCAACTCCGAACCCCACTCCAATGAACATGAACTGCCAATCAGTAGAATAAGCTACTGAAACATTTCCTGAGATACTTGTATCTGAAGTTGGTCGAATGGCAGTTTTACATTCCTTGGGCAAGGGGGCTCCGCATAATCCTTCATTACCTTCAAAGGAATCTGGTGGGAAGGATTGAATTTGAGTGCCAATGGGGATCATCCCCACCAACCGATTGAAGGAAAGATTCAGTACAGATAGAAACGAAAGCAGTGCAAGCTGTGAAGGGATTTTGCCAGTAAGAAAGTTGCTTGAAAGGTCTAAAGATCCCAGCTGACTCAAGTTTCCGATGGATGAAGGAATTTCATCAGACAGAGAATTGTGCGAAAAGTTGAGAACATAAAGTGCCTTGAGTTGTCCGATTTCTACAGGTATTTGGCCACTGAAGTTATTGCACGAGAAGTCGATGGCTGTGAARASTGTTAGGATTTTYKWCARTTCCATGTCMAGACCTTTGSYTGTWACTGTMACTGTRTCYTGAWARTTCACAGAACTGAATTTGAAGAAATTAAACCGAAGGTGATTAGCTCTTGACTTGCTATATTCTTCCTCATCCACCATTGCTTTCCACTTYATYAWKYMTTTYYCAGATATATTACCRGTAAAGTTGTTYCGAGATAGGTCGACAATCTGCAGGCTACGCCACGTGCCATTCGTTTCTGGACATCCGAACTTCCCATAAAATTGGTTCGACCGAAGAACAAGGACGCGCAAGGTAGATATGTTCTTCAATGGACATGGAAAGAMATCRTGTATCTGATTATTCCCAAGGTCCARAACCTCCAAATCTCSGCAATTSGATAAAGAACTYGGTACCTTCCCTCCRATKTTGTTTCCACTGAGATCAAGAGTCCTCAGACTGCATGTAACTGGAAATGTACTAGGAATAGAGCCAYTGAAGGYGTTTCCYCTTAGATTTAGTACCACAAGATTATCAGTCATCTTAGTTAGACATTGGGGAAACATGCCACTCATGTTATTATTAGATAGATCAAGTACCTGAAGAYTTGTAGCATTGCATATGGATTCAGGAATACTACCTCGAATATCATTTCTTGATAGAGAAAAGAAGATCGTCCATGAGAGGTAATTGCCCACATCGGGTGGAATTACAGAACTGAAACTGTTATTGGAGAAATCCAAATAGCCAGCATTGGGAGGAAAGAATGTAAGTGGCCCTTTAAATCCGTTCGAATGGAGGTCAAGAAGTTTCAGAAAGGTAGAAATATTCTGCGGTGACCCATCAAAACCAACAAGAGAGTTGCAAGAAAGATTTAATTCACTGAGACTTCTAATTTCCCAAATCCAGGGAGGTATTCGTCCTTGAAGTTCATTATGAGAGAGATCAAGAGAGTTGAGTTTGGATTGGTTTYTCAAGAAGCCAGGGAAACTTCTCAACTTGCAAGAAGCCAACTTTAATGTGGTCATTTGAGGAAAGGCAGAGAAGTCAATACTTTCTGTTTCAACTGACAGGCTGTTGCTTGAGAGTTCAACTCTTGAAATATTTTTCAGCTGCTCGAACATGCTTAGATTCAACTTTCCAGTAAAATTGTTGAAAGAAAGTGAGAGAATCTTAAGACCMCSAAGTTCAAAAAMCGAYAAYGGGAATGGACCTCCYAACTGATTGCTCTCCAAATCAAGGGTATCAAGTAAGAAAGAAGACACATTGGAGAGCTCCTCCAAACYACCGTTCAATTGGTTGTAGCTAAGCTGAATCTTCTGGACTGATGGAAGATGGAAGAGAGACAAAGGAACATTTCCAGTGAGTGAATTGTTACGCAAGTCAAGATTAACAAGATTGGAAAGCTCTTCCCATTTGGTGGAAAGCATGGAACCAATCAACCGATTATGAGCAAGGTTCAAGACAGTAAGATTCTTCAATAACGAAAATGATGGGATTGGACCAACAAATCTGTTAGTTGAAAAATCCATATACGTGAGTTGTGTGAGCTTTGCAGTAGAAATTGGGATCAACCCTCTAAAGTTGCAACCCGCCAAATCTAATCTGGTCAAGTTCTCAAAATATCCAATAGAATCTGGAAGTGTCCCGGAAAAATTCGTGGTATGGAGCACTAGATTTTGAAGGGGTGCATTGAATTGAAAATCTGGAACAGAACCTTGCAGCAATATATTATTGGATAAGTCGAGAGTCCGAAGAGTTGATACCTTGAATATGCTCTGTGGAAATGCTCCAATCAATCTCGAATTGCTAAGACGCAGCGAAGTCAAATTTGAGAACCCTTCAAATTCCTCGGGAACAGGTGAGGAAAAGTTGTTATTATCCAAACGAATTTCTGATAGATACTGAAGCTTCACAAGGGAAGAATCGAGAGGTCCAGAAAGAGAACAGCTCGACAAACTCAACACTCTCAGATTAAGCAGTGAAGATGATAAGACCTTGCTCCATTCACTTCCTCCTGCTGATAAATCAACACCATCTAGAAATAGCACTCTCAAATTTCTCAAATTCTGAACAAGAGTCATCAAATTTGGATTCTCAAGTTTCAGTGTCGAAGTTTGTAGGAAGGATGAGCTAGAAAGATCCAGAGTAACCAACCTCGTTAAGCTTGAAATCCCAATAGGAATTTGGCCCCCAAATCCTGAATTAGACATATTCAGAACACTCAAATTGAGAAGTCTTTCAAACCCGGACGGAATCGTGGAATTAAAACCGTTGCAGGACAAATTCAGATTTCGCAAGAACCGAAGACCGAAAAGACTGCTTGAATTATCAATCGCACCGGAGATGAACTCATTGCTCAAATCAAGACCGACGACACAGCCGTCGTCGCAGATTACACCATTCCAATTACAGTAATCGACACTTACATTCCACATCACGAGTTTCTTGGAGAAGGAAGAATCATATGTGAGATTATTCTTCAATTCGAGCAACAGAGACTGCTGATCCTCAGGACATCGTCCACGGACCACATACTTTCCGATGCTAAGGAAAATCGAGCAATGGAGCATCAAGAAAATGCATGAAAGAAGCAGATTTCTCATCGGGACCGATTATGGGAAAGTCCCATAAGGATAATAGAACCGGAAAGTGGTGCGAATTAGAAAGGGGGTTTGGGAAGTTCATAAGCTACCAGGTTGAGGTTGACCGTGAGACATGTGTGGGTTGGGCAGGAACAGAACTCTGAATGGAAAAAGTTGCGAAGACGAAGAGCAGGGAAGGAGAAGAGGAATCAAAGAGAAATTAGGGGAAATGGCATTACGGGATGGTGGAATGGTCAGCGTCAGCGATGGGAGCGGTTTCAAAGTAAACCGCGTCTATGTGAAAGCAATTAAGCAATAATGCAAAAATTCCGCCGCCGCGACTCGTATACGAAGCTACGGCCATTTTCTATTTTCTTTTTCACCGAAAATATATTATTGAGAAATTAGAAGTAGAATAGAACCAGTGATAAATAGTTTCGTCCTATTTAAAAATAATTTTTTGCAAATAGATAATTTTATACGGCAGATATTTATTACTTTTTAACATTTATTACAGTAAACATTTAGGAGCTAAACTTTTATACATATTTACAAAAATGTCAACCACTTTTGTATTTTGCAAATATGGCAAAATATTTGAATTTTTATTTTCGAAATTTTTATTATTCCAGTTTTACCCTTATGATATCTGACATACACCCGATGTATATCTGATATAAGCCTAATGAATGTATATCTAATATACACCTGATGAATGCATATCTGATATATGTTCGATATATCTCTGATATACTTCCGATCTATCTCTGATGTACATTCGATCTATCTCTGATATATATCAGATGTACGTATTATACATCTAATATACATCTAATGTATCTCTAATTTATGATATATTAAATATATTTGTAATGATATACCTATGTATATCTTATCTGATATATATTCGATGTATCTCTGATGTACATTTTATGTTCATCTGATGTATATCAGTGGCATCCTAATACATCATATGTAGATCACAGATGCATCAATATTAGATATCAGTAGATATCATGGTTATATCAATGGTAAATTAGAGACATATTAAGTATATATCATGGATGCATCAAAGTTATATCAGTGGTAAATCATATAATCATATGAGAAGTTATATTAGTAGATATCATAGTTATATAAGTGGTAATTTAAAACATATCAAGTATACGTATATATAAGTGTTATATCGGCATGGTAAATCAATGGTAAATTATATAATCATATAAGAAATTATATCGGTAGAAATCATAGTTATACCATACCTATATCAGTGGTAAACCATATTAGAAGTTATATTGGCAGATATCATAGATATATCAAAAGTAAATCAACTGTATATCAGTATTATATCAGTAGTATATCAAAGACATATCAATAATATACTACACATGTATTAGTGGTAAATCAATAAATAGTAAATAATATAATCATATAAGAAAATATATAAGTAGATATCATAGTTATATCAATGATATATCAGTTGTATATCAGTAGTAAATCATATGTATATATATATGTATATCATATATATATATATATATATATATATATATATATATATATATATATATATATATAAGTACTATATCAATGGTATATCAATGCTACAAGGGTAAAATTGATATTTTATTACTGGACCTCCGTTTTTTCTAAAAATTTTGCTATATTTTCAAATTTAAAATGTAGATGCTAAATTCATTATTTCCTTAATTTTTTTTTGCCATATTTGTAACTGTCCCAAACATTTATGATTAATATACATTTATCATTCGCGAGATATGATGGGTTTTTTCCAATTTTCAAATATCTTTATTTTGGCTAGCTTAAAATTATGTAATATGTTGAAGGTAGATTTCAGCATACACGTGGTAGGAGACGAGTGGACATGGAAGGTGACACGTGCCTCATAGATCCTGCAGAGGATTAGCCCAAGTATGCACATCTCGGGTCATCCATATGCCCAAGCCGAGACCGTTTCGGTGGTGGAGCCGAACAAGCCTGTTAATAATCGTGTTCCCATATTATTGGTTGAACTAATTAGCTTACCTCAGTTCGGTCACATCTCCGACACACTCTACGACAACATGCCGCGTTTCACGGTAACCTTAAAGAGCCGTTGAGGCATTGTCGAGAACACGTCGGGGTCTTCGCCTATAAAGAGAATCATTCCGTTCATTTAGAAGTATGCGAACATTTCGATTCTGTCTCGATTTAGTTCGGACTTTCACTGAATTTAGCATTGAAGTGCTCA